ATTACTTTCATACGAAATGAAAATCCCCCTAAAAGGGTTTCTTCGGCCTTATTTATAACTAACTAGATGCATTTGCATAGTAGCATATCTTGATTTAAAAAGTTCCCTCTTTTTTCGTATTTAAACAGAGTTTCGAGATTATTGCATCTCATAAATGAGATCCAGCTCTGATTGTGTCTGGTAATCTCGAAACGAAAACTCGTATGAAGACTCAGACCGTTTTAACTGGAGCTGAAGGAAAATGTCGCGTGAACTGCTTTGATCTCGCGATTATAGAAAAATATAATGAACCTCTGAGCCGTGCGACGAATTCGTCGTCAACCTAGGAGACTCTTTTTGATATGATACCATTTTCCACTTTCTGGCCACCCATTCCCCACAATCCAAGTTACTAAAACTGTCAGAAGTAAGCCTATTTGAATATGCCAATCTTAATTTCATTTTGGCCTGTGTGGAATTTTTGGTCTTTGTTTATCCGGTGCTATTCAAAAGCACTAGTTCTCTGCGATTATTATCCATCTAAAGTTATCAACTGCAGTCGGACGCAGCTCAACAATTGCACGACCAATCTGATAAATAGAAGTTTCTTTCTTAATTATGTTAGGAGGACCTTCATTTCGAATGAAAGTGCATGAAGATAAGACGGATGAAAATCGTTGTACTGCAGCCGGTTGGCTTTTAGACGATATTCATGTTGACGCAAACGAAACGAGGGAGGAGGTCTTATGGACTGCGTCAAACGGCTGCAGTACAACGAGTTTCATCTGTCCTCATCTGGTGGAATCGACCAACAAATCTCTTCTTCATGCACTTTCATACAAAATGAAGGTCCCCCTAACAATGTTATCTCAGAAGACCCATCGAAACCAAGTTTCTCTTCGTATCTACCTTCTTAATTTGTCATTTACCAGCTGGCAGCTTAACGAAACATTATGAGTCAAATGCTAATTCGAAGAAATAGATAACTAAAAAGAGATTCGTTAATCGGTCTCACAGTTTTTCTTTCTACCATTCAGAATAGCTAATCACCTTCACTATTCTAAAGGATCCACTATACTAGGTTAGTGAAGATTTGCAGTGAAGAGATTGGGAATAGGCATTGGCTAAAAGTGTCGGTAATTTCACTAGGCAGAGTTCAGATTGGATGTTATCTTAACCTTTCAGTAAGAAGATATGAAGAGAAGATGCGTTATAACACACACTCAAGACGAACACATTCTAGTATAAGAAGGTCAAATTAAATTATTCTACATTTATCCATTAATTTCTGTATACTTTTGTTTTCAATTATATATATATATATATATATATATATATATGGCAAATAGGATAGAGCAGGATAGTCTACTTGGCTTGATGTAAACTTGAAAACTTTGCAAGAATGAGTTCCAGCTCTGAGGAGGTCTCGTATACTGTGTTAAAACAACTGCAGAACAACAGGGCTCAGGCATTGTCTTCTGTTGAGATCAACCAAAAAATATCTTCAGCATGCATTCTCATACGAAATGAAAGTGTCCACATTAAATTCACGTAAGTAGACTGAGACCTAACGAATTAGCTACTGGGCCCTAGATACGGGATGAATATGATCTATGCCATGTTTTTTGCGCCTCCATTGTTATGCCACATTCTGGTGATCTATTCCATCTGATCTCCGTGCTCAGATGATTTCTTCAATTCGGATTTTGAAACAGGCGCCAAATTGAGTCAAACGGTGCGTGATTATGAGCTCAAGGACGTGGAGTCGACAACATCGCTTCAATCCGCTCTGCAGTTAATCTTACCGCCTACAAATCTCGACTCTTCTCTCTCACCTCAGGCTGAATCTCCAGGCACCAAATATCCCTTGCACAGCCCTCCTTTGTTGGATGCCAAACGAACCTCGGCCGAGGCACCTTCCCTCAGGCGACTCTGCCGAAGTACACGGTTCCTACATCATTCGGTTCATGGGTTTCGACCTCGAGTTTCCGGGACAACCTCTCTTGAGGCTAAACGCCGGTCGCGTCGACGACGAACGGCTTTCACACATGGTCAATTGAGCTGCCTGGAATACAGGTTCTTCGGGCAAAAATATCTCAGTGTGGCGGATAGAGCCCGGCTGGCTTCACAACTGGAGCTGACTGAAACGCAAGTGAAGACGTGGTATCAGAATCGCAGGTAATTTAATACCTATTTTGGAGGAAATTACCTCACTTCTAAATAGCAAAGAAGAGAGAGAGATCTATGACAATTCTGCTTAGAGGCTTAGGGGAGATTCTCACAAAAAAGTGAAAAAAATCATTTGCTTTGCTGTGTAAAGCGAAAAGATCTGCATACAAGGCATACTTTCGAATCGGAGATATGAAGACCAAGATGTTGTGGCCTTTTGTGTGGTCGCAGTCTCCTTTCGTTGTATAGACGTTGTTTGACCTTGTTTTTGCAACTTGGTCATGTTGGTAGGAAGACTTAGAGGAACGCACCAAGTCCGGAATCCATTCTATGCATGATAGTTTCCAGAGTCGGACCGTAGACGTGGTACATTCCCAGACGTTTCGCCGGAATCGTAGGTGAGTATCGCCATTCTTAGCACCACACAACCACTCGTCAAAGAGACAAGTGAAGCCGATCCTTTGACCAAACATGTGCTGAACATTGTGGTATCTCACCTCTTCTATATCCTCGTATGACGTCTTCATTATACAATTTTTCCTTGATTATTTAAATGTGGTATGGTGTACCCTCTGGAGCGGATCAACATTGAACTTAATCAAAGCAAGCAGTATCACAACATTTGTGGGTTGGCACACAAAGGAGATAGCAAACAGATCCTATGGAACAAGAGGGAGTCTCTAAAAAGACCAATGAAAGGACGACCGCGTAACAATATTGCAGACTCTGATCCACATTCCCAACACAAGAGTGAAGGAGAGTGAGAATGCCAGTGTGGACTGTGGAGGGTTCTCATGAAAGCAACTCAAAAGAGCTAACCATGCCACATTTAAATAAACAAGTAGAAATTATGATATTGAAGGGTTGATACGAGGATATAGGAAAGGTGAATAGCCCATCTCAGGAGGAGAGATATCACAACTGTTTAGCACACGTTTGGTCAAAGGATCGACTTCACTTGTCTCTTTGACGAGTTGTGGTGTGGTGCTAAGAATGGCAAGACTCACTGACGATGCCGGCGA